TAAGTCCTTCTAGGAAAGCTGGGTTTTGCTCACTGTCCAAATCTCATGATGTGTGGGGGATTCAGATCCATCTGACTTCCTAACTCAGAGTCCATGCAGAGGTGAAGGACTGGATTTTGGTCTCCCAAGGGCTGTTTGATTTCGTGGAAAGAGAGCATTCCTGGGGTGGGAATACCCATCCCCCAAGGGAGCTGTCACTGAGCAGAAAAGCAGGGGAGGCCTGAAAGTGCTGGAGGCCAGGGTCTTGGAGCCCATCTTGGCCTCCAGTGCCATCCTTCCTTGCCCTATCCCGATATGGGAGTCACATCACAGCCCACAATTGTTCTGTGGCCTCGATGAAGTTGGCAAAAAAGACCCAGGCCTTAAAATGGACTTCCAGAAGAACAAATCTGGAACCAAAACATTTATTTTTTTAATTTTAAAAATTTTTTATTTTGAGTAGGTTCTGTACCCAGCATGGGGCTTGAACTCACAATCCCAAGATCAAAAGTCAGGTGCTCTACCAGCTGAGCCAGCCAAGCGCCCTATGGAATCAAGATCTTTCCAAAGCAAGTATACCACTACAAAAGACTGGTGGGACTCTAAGGTTTTTAGTGAGGAATATTGCTAGTATCTAAGCCGGCTTAAAAATACCTGTATTTATATATATATATATATATATATATATATATATGGCATATGCTGTGAGCCCAGAGGAGCGAATTCTAAAGTGGCCACATTTGAGTGGCTTCCTGGCGGGTGGACACATTTTGAGGACCAGCAAGACAAGGCACACAAAGAATGTCTTTGGGGATGTGGCTGTCCCTGGCTTGTGGACAGGATGCTGCAGAAGGAATTCCTGTGAGCCTGTAAGCAGGTCCTGGCCTCATGTTGTCTTAGCCTAAGCACTAGGGCTCCCCTGTATCCAGCTTTACCCAGTGATTGTTGCCCTCCTGGTGAGACCTCTGGCAGACTAGAAAGGAGTATGAGACTGCCGTAACTGGGTTAGTAAATACAGAGTTGATTAATCTTAATAAAAATAATATTAATATTAATAATATTAATCTTAATAAAAATAATTCCCGATGATGGAAAGTGCACGTAGTAACATTAGATCTCCCCCTTTTTCCTTCTTCTCATCATTAGTGAGTGTTCATGAGGTCAGGGGCAGGATGTAGAACTTCTTTCTGGCCCATGGATGAAGCCTGTTTCACTGTTAACAGACCCATGAAGCCAAAAGTGAAGCTAAGTGGGGGCGAAGAGAGACTCTGGAAGGCCTGGCCACTCGCTTTCCAAGTGTGGTCCCCAGGGTGGCCTCAGCAGCTTCCCCTGGGAACTTGTCAGAAATACACATTCTAGGGCCCCACCCAGACCCGCTTAATCAGCTGCTGCGGGCCAGCGTAGGGCTCTGTCATGCGGAGGACTGGGGTGGGCGCCCCGAGGGCGCCAGCGGAGAGCGCAGGGGGTGGGAAGAGTGCGCAACGCCCTCCCCTCTGCCTGGCTCAGGGAAGGGTGGGGCCAGCCGGAGCTCAGCTGGGCGGAGCGGTGAGGGAGCAGCCAACCCACCCAGACGGGAAAGCTGCCAGGCTCCCCACCTTGGGCGGTCACTTCCAGGAATCCGGACTCCGGCTGTGCCAGTGCAGCGGCGGTCAGAGAGCGCAGATGTT